AAGTGATTGGGGACGAGCATGGCAGCTGCACAAGCAAAGCTACATATTCATCGACAAGATTAAGTGACAAAGAACCCATTCAGCCTAATTTTGCAATTTAATACCTTCAAACACCAGGAAACCTCTCCATTTTTATCTACAAGGCATTTTGTGAAGTCATCTTCATATCCACTATCCACATGTATACATGGTCATGAGAGCAAGTTTCAAAAACAAATTCATTCATTGTCCCCCCCTTTATGTCACAAGTTAAAAAATAGTAGATATGCCAGGCTTCTAAACTCTTTATTCTTTATCCTTCATACCCTATATCTTAACTTATAGAGTGAGAAGGATCATGAATTATTTACTTCTCTTTCCTTGCAGCTATCTAGTGAACAGAAAATATATTAAAAAAGCCATGATACTTAAGAGGTGAAAAGAATGTAGTGTTGATTTCAGTATCGCTTTTTATGATGTAATGAATTCCACTGTTGTAGTTTTGATCACCATAGCAGAAACATATTTTCCCAATGCTTAATGATGTTCCATATCAATACTTTCATTAGTTCTCAAGTATATTGTTTGCAACATATTATGTATAAATTCTATAGAATGATAGAGATCAGAAACATAGGCATAACTAAAAAAGAACAAAAATTTCTGGTATATGTAAACCCACATAGACCTAAATCAGAACAATAAACTCAATCTAGTATTCAAATACTTAAAAAACAAAACTTTTCTCAACTGAATTCAATCCAAAATCATAACTCAACATGCATTTGAATAATCTAACAACAAGATCAATTTTTGTATTAATAGTAATCACAATTACATAACTACGATCAGAAAAAACTTACTGTTGACCATCATCAAAAGCAGGTGGAGGAGCTTCATCACTGTTATAGTGAGCGACAAGAGTGTCAAAGCAATAAACCACCATTTCTCGATTTGCAGATACCATTTTGATTCGCGAGAAATGGTAATTTAGATCAAAACTAAATCGAAAACTCAATTTCTAGAAATTAAACAGGAATCTGGTAGCTCTCTTCTTCCTCTTTGTATCGATGATCGAAAG